ACTAATATGTGCAAGAGACTGGGTCCAATCCTGAGTTTAAAATACATAGGAATATATATAATTAAGGATGTAAAAGATCTATATATAAACTACAGCACCGATAAAAGACATCAAAAATGACACAGATAAGTGAAACAATGCCTTGTGTCCATGGACTGGAAGAATTAAAATTATTGATCTATAGAGTCCATGCAATCCCTATCAAAATACCAATGGCTTTGAAATAGAAAGACAAAGTTTATAACCATAAAAGATACCATGTAGCAAAATAATGTCATAAAGAAAAAAGCTAGGGGCATCATCTTCTCAGACTGCAGGCTATAATACAAAGCTATAGTAACTAAACTGGCATAATAACAGATACATAGCCCAATAGCACAGGATAGAGAGCCCAGAAATAAATGCATGTATGTATAGTTTTTTTTGTCTGTGTCAAATTTGCCTGGAGTGTACAACGGGGAAAGGAAAGTCTCTTCAATAAATGTTGCTGGGAAACCATATATCCTCGAGGCAAAAAAAAAAGAATGAACCCTTGTTTTATACCAGACTCAAAATTAACTAACTTGATTTTGTCATCCCCCCTTCTGTTGCTAGGGATTAAAACTGGGGACTTATACTTGTTAGGTACATGCTTTACCCCATGCTAAATTCTGAACCCTACACAAAATTAGCAGAAAATGTATTTAAGATAAATGAAAATCTCAGAAGGATGGGGGCCCTAGTCCTAAGAAGACCAGTAAAACACCTAGAAGAAAACACAAGGATAAGCTTCTCCATATTGACCTAGGCAATACATTTTGGACAAAACACCAAAGAATAGGAAAAAAATAAGCCAGTTGGATGATATTGAACCAAAAGGTTTCTAAATATAAAAAAAGCAATCACAACATGAAAAGGTAGCCTGCTGGAGGCAGAGAATATTTGCCATCCAAATATCTGATAAGGGACTAAATTTTAAAATTAAGGGACCTCACATAACTCAGCAAACAAAACAAAATAGCTTGACTAAAACAAGAGCAAAAGACATTTCAAGGACAAGCATATAGCCAGGAAGCATAAAAAAAAAAAGTGTTAAACATCATTAGTCTAGCTGGGTGTGGTGAAGCACACATCTAGTCTCAGTACTCTGGAGGCTAGCCTGGGCTACACAGAGAGATCTTGTCTCAACAACAGCATCATCACTGATTATCAGTTTGACAACTTCAGTTTGATTCCCCAAACCGACATAAAAGATGGAAGGAAAGAATCACCTCCAAAAAGTTGTCTCTGACCTCCACATGTGTGCCATAGCACATGCATACACATCTCTCTCACACACACAGTAATAAAATTAAGAGAACAAAACAAACAAAACCCTGATGACCTTATGCTAGCCCCTTTACTTCTGTACCCCAGTGTCCTCCTTTCAGTCAGTACTTCTAAAAATGGGGAAGGGGGAACAGTGTAAAATTATGTGGAAACTTCTGGAAAGCCTTTGCTCTCACGGAAGGAACCACCCTGTGCCAGCAAAGTGTGTAACATTCTTGGTAATTTTTAACTGTATTTTAGAGCATTGCTCAGAGACTTTGGGTATATTAATTAAAAATTATCCTGATTAAAACAAAAGGTGAAAACAAGGGCAAAGGACAAGTTGTGGCTGTCAGTGCTGAAGGGGTAGAGGAAATGGGATGGTTTTGGCTTTAACCTTTTCTTTCTTGTTGCTTCTAACTTTCTTCTTTTCTTTTTTGTCTTTTTTCTTTTCTTTTTTTGTTCTGGGAGTTGAACTCAGGACTTGTTGAATGCTAAGTACACATTACCACAGAACTCCACCCTAGTCCTGGGTCCAACTTTGAGTTGTAGGATGAATAAATTCCAGATCTAATATACAGTATGGGTGTGGTCTATGTGGTTAAAAGATCAAGTGAAGAGTTTGGACCACTGTAATAACCTTGAGCTTTGCTTGAGGAACTCAGTGACTATATCATAAGGGCATCATTTCCGATTTTGCCAGTGTAGAAATATATAGGTGTTTTCTATCTGTGGCTTAGTTAGAAATATTCCAGGATATTGGAACATGAAACATGTGGGAAATTAATTCAACATATGTTTACATTCTTAACAATCACTATCAGCATTTAAGTCCCTGGAGAGGAAGGAACCCTTTTTCCCTTTTCCTTTTTTTTTTTTTTTTTTTTTTTGTTTATTTTGGATAATCAACAGTATAGTTTAGCATCTCCACACAAAGCACAGTTGTTTTATAAACCTCAGCCAGGGTGGAATATGGCAAGGTTGGGGTGTGGCTGGACCAGGCTGTAGCAGGACTGTCAGTGTAATGTCCAGATTTTATCCAATGCTTAGGCCCTGAAAGGCAGACCAGTAAAAGCAGGTTGTAATTCATTACTAGGTTGTAAACGTGAATTGAGATCAGCCTTGTGTGTGTGTGTGTGTTTGTGTGTGTGTGTATCTTATGTTCCCATGGGTGTGTGCACATGTATGTGGAACCTAGAGGTCAACCTCAGATTTTTTGAGACAGGATTACTTCCTTAGCCTAGAATTGATCAGTTCTGCTAGGCTGGCCAGCCAGTGAGCTTATACAGTCTGCATGTCTGTGCCTAGCACCTCCAGCACTGGGGTAACAGGATATACCACCACACTTGGCTTAACTTTTTTTTCTTTTTTAAATTTCTATCATTTGTACATGTGCCATAGCATGCGTGGTCAGTGTTGTGGGAGTCAGTTTTCTATTATGTGCGTTCTAGGAATCAAATTGAGGGTATCAGGCTTGGCAGCAAACACCTTTATTTACCCAATGAGCTGTCTTCCTGGCTTCACACCTGGCTTTTTGGGGTTTGTGAACTAAAATCAGGGCCTCATGCTTGATAGGTGGGTACTTTATCAACTGAGTCATCTCCCCAGCTCTGGAAGCATCATTGTTAAAAGGTGATGCATATTTGTAAAGGATAATATCTTGTGAGGATATGTAATTATTTAATTTATTAATTTATTTCTTTTTTAAACAGAAATCTTTTTATTTTATGGGCTTTGATGTTTTGCCTTCAGTTATGTCTGTGTAAGGATGTCGGATCTCCTGGAACTGGAGTTACAGTTCTGAACTGCCATGTGGGTACTGGGAATTGAACCCGGGTCCTCTGGAAGAGCAGCCAGTGCTCTTAACTGCTGAACCATCTCTCCAGCCTCTAATTTATATACATACTTGACCACTGTGTTCTGATGCAAAATGCTTTTTCATCTGGGTCCTAGTAAAGCATTTTTTTGGGGGGGAAGAACACTATTTTAATGGTACAAAGCTTTATGTTTTAGATTGCCTTTGGTAGCAATTAAAAGAAACTCCAGTCTCAAATGGCAGTAATCACACACACACATATTAATTATAACTAGGATTGCAGTTTGGGAGCACTTTAACTTGTTAGTTTTTAATCTGCTATTCTCATTGTTGTCTTCAGTCTAATGCCTTACGCCACAGGGAACTGTAACGCAATGTGGTAGTTTCAGTATACTGCAGGAACACTGCTGATCTATCTTGTTTGACAAAGAAATGAATTTAGGAATTGGTGGTAGTCAGTCAGAGGAGTCACCTGAGCATTTGTGTAGTGGGTAGCCATTCCAGCTTTGGCCTGGAAGTTCCAACCCCCATTGTAGGTGAGATAGTTACCGAAGCCTCAATGGGGGTCAGAACTTTCAGACCAAAGCTGGAATGGCTACCCACTACACATTTGTGTACAGATTATGTAGGTAAAAGTGGAGTCTTTGGGTAATAGGGGCCAAAAAGTAGTGAAGGGAGGGGACTTTCCCAGGGGAAACCAACCAAAGGTCTGCTCTATGCTTCTGAATCATACTGGAGGCACCATGTAGGCTGAACAGCAGGCAGATGCCTCGTCAGTAGGCAGTATAAGGAATCTGGATTCTGTCTCATAGAAAATGTGCTGTCAGAGACCCACTAGGCAATTAAGATGACCAGATTCCTATCACTACAGCCTTATGCCCGAGGCTTCTCCCTAGGGCCAACTGTGTATTTGTGAATGGAGATAAAGTAGGACATGACACCACTAAAGACACAGGGAAATTTTGGTCACTGGCTTAAAAAAAAATGACAGGTATTGGGTTCATAGTGCTAATGTTTTAGTCAATGTGTTAAGTTTTTTTGGGTGGGTGAGGCCCATTACTTTGTCAATCTTATTGTAAAGAACTGGAACTCAACATGGAGCATCTTTCTTTCAAAGTGATGAGAGGGGCTCTCTTTGGCTTAGAATTTAAGCAATGGCTAATTGAAGGCATCTTCTACCTGCTGAGATAGGTTATTTACTAACACAGATTGGCAAAGCCTCTAGACGTCCTAGAATTTGTCAACTTTTTTGGGCCAGATTATTAAAGATTCAGTGTCCCATGTTATGAGTTCCTTGATGGCAGATATTTCACATTTGGCTAGGGACAGATTTATTGCAAACATTCTCAAAGCATGCTATCTCTAATGTGTAAGGTGATGCTGGGGACTGGAAGATGTTTAATAAATACATATGGAGGGGGAAGACAGATGGCCCAGCAGGTAAAGGAAGTTGCCATTAAGTCTGATGACCTGACTTTGATACCTAGGAACCACAGGCTGGAAGAACTGACATGGGAAAGCTGTACTATGGCCTCTATCTGTAGTATGACACATGCATTCCCCTTCCCCAATAAATAAAGTGTAAAAAGTGTAGGGAGTTCAAAGGAAAATCTTTGGGAGCCCTTTCACAGTTCACCTGTTGCTAAGTCTTCAAGATTTGGTTTTGTGGGCTTTCCCAAGTCACAATTTGGGTATCTACCTGGGGTGAATGTGTATAAAAGGGGTAAAGATTTACAAAGAAACATGCCAAGTTTTAAGCAGAAGGAAGAGGGAGAGCTCTTCTGAGGTCAGGTGAATTAGTCTAGGCAGCTGCAGGGAAAACAGCACCAGAACAGTTCCGTCACTGAAGCCTGTCTTTCTGCTTTAACACTGACCCTCCACCTTCTTCCTTCCTCAGGTTCTGCATCAGGTGTGAGTGACAAGAGTGAGAACGTCACACATCTTCCCATGACTTCCCAGTCAAGCCTCTGAATCTACAGAATGGCAGCCAGGATGAGTTACAGCCTCAGTACTCAGTGGATATAAACAAGCTCTTGCTTCTCACACGACCCAGCTATTCTGAAACCGGATTTCCTCTTTCCGGGTTCCCACAGAGGTCCACTTTTGACAACAAAAGCTTCCAGGAAATTCCCCCAGGCTTAACTTTCTAATGCTTCACTCTCCATCAGCCGTCCTCTTCACACCCTCTACCAAGAGGAAGGAACTTATCTGGAAGGCCAACATCCTGTCAGATGCCTACACCCCATCTATGTGCAGGGTGGTGGTGCATCTCTTTGAGTCCACAGTCAAAACTCATTCAGAGGTTGAGGAAAACACATAAATGGAATGTGTGAACTTGCCTAAAAACAATGCTTGCGGTATTCCCCCAGTTAATGGCTAAGGGAGGGAACTTTTCTTCAGCTCCTGTAAGCAGGCCTAACGAAACTCACCAGATCATAAACACAAGCACACACAAACCCATGAAAGTGGAAGGGGGACTAGGTAAAGAGGAACAATGGTGTGTATGTGGTGGTGGTGGTGAATATGATCAAAATACATTATAACTTATATATCATAAAAAACGAAATGAAAGGGGCTGGGCTGGAGAGATGGCTCAGCGGTTAAGAGCACTAGCTGATCTTCCAGAAGTCCTGAGTTCAATTCCCAGCAACCATATGGTGGCAATGGGCTCTGATGCCCTCTTCTGGAACACAAGCATACATGCAGACAGTGCACTCATACCAAACGACAACAAAAACAAAACAAAAAGCCCCAAACAAAAAAGAAATCCCAAGGGGTGGGTCTCTAGGCTGGATATCAATCACAGTCACCATAGGAAGCTAGTAGTCAAGAGATATAGGGCTCATCTAAATAAGTGGTAAGATAAGCAAACCAAGCCAGGCAGTTGACGCCTTTAATTCCAGCATTCAGGAGGCCATCCTGAAGAAACCATCTCAAAAAAATAAAAAACAAAAGATAAGCAACCGGCCCTGTGTGGTGGTGAACACTGGAAGGCCCAGCACTTGGGAGGCAGGGACAGGAGGACAGCTGTTATGTTGGCTGCAGCCTGGATTACATCGTAAGACTCCCCTCCCCCACCAATAAGTAAAGCAAAACTGACCCAAGATTCAGAAACACAAGCTGCGAATTTACTATCTTAGGTGCCTCTCACTTTCCAGAAATCCCAGGAAAGGAAAGAAAATCAGTTTCATACAGTCACATGAAAATTTTATCTATTGTGCAAAGAGAGGACCATGAGCCAGCAGGAAGGTCTGGGCTCCATTTCGACGGGCCACTTTACAACGCCACTTCCAGTTGTCTCGCATTATAAGAGCTCCAAGACCCGTGAACACACCCACGAGAGCTATTCACTCTCCTGCTCCAGCTATGTCTTTGGTGTTTGAACCGTGTGGGAGCTGTGGAGGCTTGCTTCCTGGTTATGGTGCAGGTCCTGCTTCAGTCCCAGTAGCAGCTGGTTTAGGAGAGTGAGGTTGCTGTCTCTGTGAGGCAGAGGCAGGGGAGGGAGGCAGTTCCCTTTATATTCGATCACTGCCATCTTGGCCCGATCTTGCTCCTTCCGATTCGGGATCTGCAGCATTCTTGTGTAGTTCCCATTCTGACCTTGGAACCGAGGTGCTAGTACTTTAAACAGCTTTGGGATCAAGTCCTTCTCCTAGATGGGGAGAGTTAACAGGAAGAAAACAGTCAACCGTAGAGGCATTATTCCCAGAGGTAGGGTTCAAAACATCTTCACGGGATTTCCCCACCACCCAATCATGTACCAAGTTACACAGAACCACTTATAGGCAGTTGTGCGAATGCACATTCTTTTCCGGTTCAAATAAGGGAAACATTCGTCTAAGGTAGTTCACAACAATGGTATATAAGTGAGTACCCTGGCTTAAAACTGCCCTGTACCCGGTCCTCTAACGATTCCTTCCCTATAAGGAAGGCAGGGAGCACTCACAGTGAGCCAGAAGTCAGCCATGCGCATGGCTCGTTCGTTGGTGTCTCCTAGCTTTCCATAGTCGATAAGCTGTGAGAACAAAACATCACTGATGCAACACGAGCAAGAACCGAGGCACCCACCTTTGTCTCTTAATGTCTTAGCTTCATCCAATCATCCCACTAGCTAATTCAGGGCGCTCCTAACTCCGCTGTCCCAACCAGCCTTCCATTTGCAGCGCGGGGGGAAGGTGCTCAGTTGAGTGCCACGGGATTTACTTCCGTGCAGGGGTTTCCCAGGGTGGCCCTACTCCCCACACACGGCCAGGGCGGTCTTCTGAGGATGGACCCGGCTCTCACCTTCTCCGCGTAGCCCCTCATCTCGTCCACGCGTGCCCATGACGCCTCGATACGTTCGTGGCGCACTAGGCCCGTGAGCAAGTTCCGCAGCAGGTGGATGCGCGACTCCGGACCGAGGCCCAGGCGGCGGTAGACGCGGCCGTGGGAGATAGCAGCTGCGAGCGACAACCTCATGTTCCCACCTTAGTCCCACCTCCCGGGGATGGGGGGGGCCGGAAAGGGAAACTGCGGCGGTGAAGGGGGCGGAGACAGTTCTCAGAGGAGGCATGCGCAGTAGCTCGGCGCGTGGCAGACGTGTTTGCGCATGCGCATCAGAGTCTGCCTAGCTGGCAGTCTGAGGGAGGGCGGAGCAGACGTGTTGACGTGTCTGGAGCGGCGAGGGGGGCGGGCCTCAGGGTCTGCGGGTGCTCGGTGGCCCGCCGGGGATCTCGGCGCCCCCTGGCGGATTTCTTCTGCGCTGCTTGAGCAGGCGAGAGCGTTCTTGGCGATGGCGCCTTTCGAGCGGAGCATGTCGGGAAAGTGAGTATCTGAGGAGAACAGCGTCTGAGGGGTGGGGCCTCAGCGGGATGTGGCCCTCTGGCCTGAGGAGTTGCTGGCTTGGCTGGCTTTCTGAGAATGCTAGTTTAAAACGCAGTTTTCATTACTGACAGTGAGCTGAATAATGTCCAGGAAAGTCGCAGGTATTTCACACTTTATTGACGTAAATAAATATTTAAGTTACATATTTAGTACTAAGAGCTAAAGTAATGGATACTTTAAAGTTTTGAAACTTTATTCTTCTCTCATACAATACATCCTGACCACAACTTGCCCTCCCTTCACTCCTCCCAGACCCCCAGCCTTCCCTCTTCCCCAGGTTCTCTCCCCACCCCCACCCCCCAAAAAAATAAAGAACGGGTCTCCTAGGGACATCAAACACCGCACAAGAAGATACAATAAGATCACGCTCAAACCCTCAAACCCACATTGAGGCAACCCAGTAGGAGGAAAAGGATCTCAAGAGCAGGCAAAGAGTCAGAACACCCCCACTCTCACTGCCAGGAGGTTCCCCCCCCCCCCCCCAACAGACCATATAACATATAAACACAGGACCTAGCGTAGACCCACGCAGGCTCCGTGATTGGCACTTCAGTCACTGTGAGCCCCTATGAGTCCTGCTTAGTTGATTCTGGCCATGTTTTCCCCCTTGTGTCTTTCACTCCTCTGGTTCTCAATTCTTCCTCCTCCTCTTTCACTGGGTTCCCCAAGCTCCAAGGAAAGGGACCCGATGGAGGCCTCCAACCTGGACTTCTCTCTGCCTAGTGTTTGGCTGTGGGTCTCTACACCTGTTCCCATCAGTTGCCAGAGGCAGCCTCTTGGGTGATGACAAGATTAGTTACCGATCTATGAATATAGTAGAATATCGTTGGGAATCATTTCATTGATTATTTTTTCCAGTCGTGTTTGATACCATAGGTCTCTGGGCAGATAAATACTTTTACTTAAGAAAAAAATTTTCTCTCTGTTTGTATTCTCTCCCATATGCCATGCTAACTCAACATCCTTACTGCTTTCTGAAAACAATTTTTATGGGAGAAATTGGGTGAAAACATAGTCTAGTTGTAATGTCTAACAAAATGATGATCATATTGGGGATTATTTAAAATCAATGTGTTGTAGTTGTAGTTACTAGAAAATTGAGGACAGTAACAAGTAAAAACATATTTCAAATGGAAAAAAGTAAATTTTAAGATAGTTTGATTTTAGAAAAATAAGTTTCTGATCATGTGAAATATGAAGTTGAGGTGGCCCAGGGCTAAAGAGGGACCCAGAGTTTGATGGGATCAACATAATCCCTCACATGGTGTTTCACTCTGGAAATAGTGACAAGCTGTTTCTAATTTGGCTTACATACTTCATGATGTTCTGTGCCCTCCCTATTTCATTTCCGTGTATTATTAGTAGGGGAACTGCCTGTTGCTGAAATTATAAGGTCCTTCAAGTTCAGAGAGGAACTGATTAATGCATTTGGTGGTCTTTCTCTTGCCTCCACCATCATCAAGCCAGTACTCTGCTTTTTCTGTTTGCCTTATAGTTTTTTGTTTTTTTTTTAAATAACACATCATTTAAATTTTTTTTGGTGTTCCTTGATAATTTCACCTTTACTTAGAAAAAATATCTTTTCATCTTTCATTTGAAAGAAAATATCTTATTTAGCTAGGCTTATTGTTAGCTAGCTTTCATCATACCTAAAAATCAAATATTTCATTTGTTGTGCTTCTATGTGGTAGCTGACCTATCACTGCTGGGTCGGAATTATTAACCAGGTCTCTTAAGTCCATTTCCCCTTCCTGTGAGCCTGGATTCAGAAATGTCATTGATTGCTCTGTTTGTAAACTATCTGATTTGCTTTCAATCCTTTCTCTCTAGATGATGTATTTGTTCACCAGTGGAAGTTGGATTTTTCCTTTATTCCCTACTGACCTATTTTAGAAATCCTTGACTCAGATAACCTTTTAAAATTAAATGTGTGTGTGTGTGTGTGTGTGCGCGTGTGCGTGCGTGTGTGCGTGTGTGTGTGTGTGTGATTTTGAATGCAGGTCCTCATATGCCATGGTATGCTTGTGGATGTAGGAGGTCAAATTTCCTGAGTCTGTTCTGTTCTTCCACCATGCGATCTAGAGTTGTCAGATTTGCATGGCAAGCACCTTTATCTTTTGAGCTACCTCACTGTCCCCAAAATTGGACAGTAGTCACATTAGAAAAGATAATAAACTTTGTTTGTTTCTTTTGAGACAAAAGCTGTCCCAAGATTCACTATGGAACCCAGATTTGTTTCAAACTCAAGATTTTGTATTGGTAATTCTCCTGTCTCAGCCTACAGAGTACTGGGATTGCAGGCAGAACTACTTTGCCTGAGGAGCTATGACTGATTATCCAGTCCAATGATCTTTAAAAACTTTTTGTGTCTTTTGATGAATATAAATTCAGTTCTCTGGAGAATAATGTTTTTAGGTATATGAACTAAAGTAAAAAAATGTAGGGTATTAGAAAGGAAACACGTTATATTGTTGTCAAGATACTTTTCAAAGCTCTTCAAATTGGTGACTGTGGCAATATATGCTGTTTTGGTAACATATGAAATAAAAAAGATCTTGTAGTAGGTCTTTCTTTAGGCTGCCAGCTCACAAATAATGACACAGAGACTTCTTATTTATTATGAAAGCTTGGCCTTAGTTTAGGCTCATTCCCAACTAGCTCTTATAACTTAAATTAACCTGTTAATCTATTAATCTACATTCTGCCAATGTGGCTTTTTTATCTTTCCTCCTTTATGTATGTCTCCCTCTGTGTCTCACTGGCATCTCCCCACACACCTAGATTTGCTGTGGGATGGTCTGTATATTAAATGTGTTGCTCTCATTGGTTAATTAATAAATAAAACATTGATTGACCAGTAGCCAGGCAGGAAGTATAGGTGGGGCAAGTATGGTGATATTTTATTTGTACTGAAATATGATTTTAATTTTATGTTAATAAATAAAGTTGCCCTGGGGTCAGAGCTATTAGAGCCATAGCAAGAGCGTGGTGGTTAGAAGAGCTAGGTAGATTTCCTGTGTGTTCAGGGATACAACCAGTATTGGAGACATACGCCTTTAAGACCTGGAGGGCGGTACTTACAGGCAGTGATGAGGCAGTCATGTGGTTGGGTTTACAACCAATGAGAAGGCAGA